CGTACGTTTATAGAAACTATCAATTGTTCGATAATTTTTTCGACCACAAATTTTGCAATTATTAAGTTTTTGTTGCGATGTAAATTGAGTATTAATATGTTTATTTTTAAATGTTTTTTTGTTGTGAATCAATTTGGATTTGTTTATTTGCTATAAATGTTGATCGAGGTTCAGGTTGATGAATCGAGTTATGTTGAAGAACAGAGCTCTGTTATGATAAAAAATGTGAACGACTATTCTGTTTTATATAATGATATCGAAATTTCGGTTGTTTAATCATAGTTGTTAATGTGGAAATTCTTGAATGATTAAATGTAAAATTAGATTGTTTGGATTCGATAGATAATTGACGAGATTTTTCAAAAGTATCATACAAAGCTGGTTCGATTTTAGCGTATTTTAAGAATTCATTTAATGTATTCATACAAGATACATGTCTAGACATTTCTTTTCTGAAATCAGGGTTTATTTCACTCATTAAATGTTGCATAAATATTGAGTCGGACATAGTTGGATCAATTTCACGGCATAAATTAATAATATCATCAATATAAGATGTAATAGGTTCATCGCATGATTGTGTTCGTTGTTTCAATTTATCATAATTTTTAGGAACCATTATTGTTGGAAAATAACGATTTCGAAATTGAATTTCGAAATCTGATCATTTTTTAAGATTATATTCCTCATTATCGAATCATAATCCAGCAGATTATGTTCATTTACCATGAACAATTTCCGGACTTTCATGATTATCTGATTCATCGTTAGCTTTTGTAATATTTTTAATACTTTTTAAAATCGTTTGACGTCCTCAGAAGGATGTCCAGAGAAATTTGGTAAATCATCGACTCGAGCGTTTGCTAATAATGTTGGATCAGTCATTTTATTTGTATTTAAATTTAATCTTCAACTTATATAACGATTAACTTGTGACGATATACAAGACAATGAATTAGTAATAATTGTGTGCGACAGTAGTTTTTTTATTATTTTTTATAACTTCAAATCTTGTTCCGATAGCCGTTATGAATATACAGGGTGGGCCAAAAGTCATGTTACCGAGAAAAAATTGAGTATCTCCATCACGGCTTGACCAAACGGGCTCATTTTTTCACCAAGGATAGAGGCATGTTCACACTGCAAATCCATACGGATAAGGTTAATGAGAACCTTTGTTAAATATCACTGTTAACCTCAACAAGAAAATTTTACTTTTTCACCGATAGGAAAAGAAAACGATATACTTAACAAAGGTTCTCACTAATCTTGTCCGAGTAGATTTGGCGTGTGAACATGCCTCTATCTCTGATAAAAAAATCAGCTCATTTGCTCTAGCTGTAATAGAGATATTCAATTTTCTTCTCGATCAAGTGACTTTTGCATCATCTTGTATACTGGTTTTTTCCTACATGTGAAAAAGCAAAATTTTCTTGTTGAGGTTAATAGTGATATTTAACAAAGGTTCTCACTAACCTTACCCGTATGGACTTGGAGTGTGAACATGCCTCTATCCGTGGTAAAAAAAACGAGCCCGTTTGGTCAAGCCGTGATGGAGATACTCAATTTTTTCTCGGTAACATGACTTTTGGGCCATCCTGTATTATAATTATAACAATTAGTATTACGATAAATGAATAAATGAAATGTAAAGACAAATGGATGAACGAAATTCTCCTTAGAATCTCTGTTTATAATTGTTGAAACCAATGAAAAGTCTCACGCTTATTTTAGTTTGATTTCCCTTTCTTTTGCTTTAAAATTTACTTTCCGAAAAAAGTGCAAAATCGATTTCTTGTTTAAAGATCCAAAAACTACGGCTTACTCAAAAGTATATTTTATATAATGAATCATAGCATTACATAGACAGAATCTTCTCACCTATGAATGAAATATAATTGTTTTATATTAATTGAACAATATAATCTTAAAAATTTATTCGAGTCTTTTTTTGTTCAAAAGGCTCTGTGAAAAAATTTCAACTCTCTTTATTAAGAAGCTTTGGTAGAATACGCATATTAAGATAATTAATTTCAATCATAATTAATACTTGTTTCTTGATGATAATGCTAATTAATCATTTTTCTTCTGTTTTGTGATGTTGTTTTGCAGGGTCGAAAATTGTTAGCTTTTTCTCTTTATTCTGTTAGCACTTAAATCATATATACATATGTATATGCGTGCCTAGATGTAAGTGCACACTAAATTTATTTCATAAGGAATGCAGTAACTTTACATATATGATATAGAAAAATACATATGCACAAAGAGAAAAACCAGGGAAATCAATTAAAAATCAAAAGAAGACGAAAGAAGATAAAAGAATAGAGGATAGCAACAAGATAGAGAATACGTATCCATGTGACATCACTGTAGCACCTTGTCCACTATTTGCATTTTCTAGTCCTTCTCCACTATTCAAATTTCCAGGATATTGTAAGACATTTCCATTGTCTGGTTGTTGTGCATCATTTCCATTGTCTAGTTCTTGTACACCATTTCCATTGTCTGGTGGTTGTGCATCATTTCCATTGTCTGGTTGCTGTGCACCATTTTTATTGTCTGGTTGTTGTGCATCATTTCCATTGTCTGGTTGTTGTGCATCGTTTCCATTTTCTGGTTGTTGTGCACCATTTCCATTATCTGGTTGTTGTACATCATTTCCATTGTCTGGTTGTTGTGCATCATTTCCATTGTCTGGTTGTTGTGCATCATTTCCATTATCTGGTTGTTGTGCATCATTTCCATTGTCTGGTTGTTGTGCATCATTTCCATTGTCTGGTTGTTGTGCATCATTTCCAGTTTCTTGCACACCATTTCCAGTTTCTACACCTTGTCCAGTATTTCCATTGTCTGGTTGTTGTGCATCCTTTCCATTGTCTGGTTGTTGTGCACCATTTCCATTGTCTGGTTGTTGTGCACCATTTCCATTGTCTGGTTGTTGTGCATCGTTTCCATTGTCTGGTTGTTGTGCACCATTTCCATTATCTGGTTGTTGTGCATCATTTCCAGTTTCTTGCACACCGTTTCCAGTTTCTACACCTTGTCCAGTATTTCCATTGTCTGGTTGTTGTGCATCGTTTCCATTGTCTGGTTGTTGTGCATCGTTTCCATTGTCTGGTTGTTGTGCACCATTTCCATTGTCTGGTTGTTGTGCACCATTTTCATTGTCTGGTTGTTGTGCACCATTTCCATTATCTGGTTGTTGTGCATCGTTTCCAGTTTCTTGCACACCATTTCCAGTTTCTACACCTTGTCCAGTATTTCCATTGTCTGGTTGTTGTGCATTGTTTCCATTGTCTGGTTGTTGTGCACCATTTCCATTATCTGGTTGTTGTGCATCATTTCCAGTTTCTTGCACACCATTTCCAGTTTCTACACCTTGTCCAGTATTTCCATTGTCTGGTTGTTGTGCACCATTTCCATTGTCTGGTTGTTGTGCATCATTTCCATTGTCTGGTTGTTGTGCATCATTTCCAGTTCCTTGCACACCATTTCCAGTTTCTACACCTTGTCCAGTATTTCCATTGTCTGGTTGTTGTGCATCGTTTCCATTGTCTGGTTGTTGTGCACCATTTCCATTGTCTGGTTGTTGTGCATCATTTCCATTTTCGGTTTCTTGCACACCATTTCCAGTTTCTACACCTTGTCCAGTATTTCCATTTTCTGGTTCTTGTCCATGATTTTCATCTCTTCGATATCTGTCTTGTTGTCTAGCTGGACGATTATTAAACTCAGCAGGTGCTGAGAAAACAACAACCGTGAAAACTAACTAAAAGATAAATGAGATAAGAAACGTAAATTAAGAGAAAAAGTAATACACTAAGTGCTCATGTAGAAAGGAAGTCCTTGTAACGATCGTATTTTTGAATCACGCGCTTGTGTGGACGAGTTTGTGTGGTTTCGTGAAGTCCCTTCACTGTCCTGGATGTGTAGTAAAAAAAATCGAGAAAGAGCCTGGTTGTTCAAATATATTGCTTCCTTTGTTTTTGAAAGTAACAGTTCAATTAGTTAATGTGTCAAAAATTGGAAATGATGTATCATTATGAAGAAAAAAAACTCAAGGCTTTTCATAAACACCAAACAAATATGTAGCCTATTCCATAGTTTTTGTTTTTAGATACATTGTAGTTTAATGGTCAGAAAACTTTCAAAAATAAAAACCAGTAAAGATACACAATTTTACCTTACTCTAGCGTAGATTGTAGGATAGAGTAAGGATAAGAAAATATTTCTCAGTCACTGTAAAGGGTACGAAAATAACTTACCCAGCACTACTCTATAAGAAAGAAAAACAAAAATGAAGTACAATACCAATGCTACTAGAAAATCTAACAACATTCATATAAACACATCACAAAATAACTATCTATCCATGTAACATAATCTTTAATTATTTCAGCACCATATTCATATTCAAATGATTCATTTCGCTCATGTCTTATTTATATATACTCTTCAAAACAAACTAACAGCAGAACGTTCAAAACTGTCTAATCGATTTTCGTTTACGATTAAGACTATTGATATTCAATCGGTGATGATGAGTAGTGAAAAAGTTTGTATGATTTGATTTGATTTGATTTTCCGATCTTCACTTGTTAGGTGAGGGCCGTTTTAGTCGATTTTGGACTTATGTTCATTGGATGACTAGGAATATGAATGCATGAATTTCGAGCTGAGATTTTCTTCATAGATAGACCTTATAGCCATTAGAAACTCTCCACAATTTGAGTGATAATGAACGCATCCTCATCGAGATATCAGTTCGTAATTAAAAAATTCTTGTTTTGCACCACAGAGAAAAAACGGATGTTTATTTCACATGTAAATATTATCGTGAGGATGCATACATTCTGATTGACACTTTGGAATGTTGCTAATGACTATAAGACCTCTCTATGAAAAATATTTTAGCAATAAATTCTTCCATTGAGGCTCACAGCGTTCCGATGCTAAAATACCAAAAATCGAGTAAAATGACGCTAAGTTAATAAGTGCAGATCGTAAAATCACACGAAACGACATTTTTTCACTATTTATCATGACCGTCCAAGTGGCAGTCGTCTCAAGGGAGAGCCTTTGGACAATCGGAAATATTTCTGTTGTAAGGTTCAAAATTTCTAGAAATGTTGCATGAAAAAAATAGGATATATTCCTAGTAAGTATTTTGATGTCTAGACAAGTGTGATTCCTGCTCTCTTTATCTAGACGTCTTTGATGCGTGATCTCTAACCAACGACAAAGCAATAAATGTTAATCGCATATTTGTATATATGATGAAATGATGTTTATCGCCCAATCTACGTGTTTATATAAGGTGCGTATAATGCATGACATCCAGTAAATTTTTTTTCGTTTCTTCACATATTATTCGATAGTGCAAGAAAAGTACGTCACGTATATATTGTTTTTATATGCATTGTTTCATTTTTTTAGGAAAAAAAC